TCTATGTTCCCATACTAATGGCAGTTGAGGTGCCAGACTAGGAGCATCGGCCCTGGCACCACAAGACATTAGTGTGGCTGCTGCCTCCGCCAGTCAGCTCTGTGAAGTCTATGGCTTTAAGCATGGCTCTTGGGCCAACTCTGCCACCCTCATAATGCTTGGCTCAACCCCCAACAATATCCACCGTGCTCATAGTACCCAGTAGAATGAAGACTCTTAATGCTTAAAGATTATCCAATGGATTTATATATCAGCAAATACTCAATACACAAGACGCCCACACAATTAGAATTGTTACCCAATATCTAACCTTTTGATGTGAATAACTACCTGAAACTCCTAGAGACATGCACATCTGCCTCCATCTTGCTTCTCCTTGTCCTTCTCCCCCTCTCCTTCCTCTTTCTCCCAACTCCCAGCCGTCCTCATGGGTCAGGATTCCCTGCGGCTACTTAGCCTGTCCATTTAGGACAGTGGCTGTGGTAGAACTACTCTGGGATTCTGGGTGTTCCCAGTAGTTCACAGTCTTACTTCTCATCTCTTTCTATGGAATGACCATGTATTGTGAATCTGACCTCACAAATTAAGATATATTCCTGCCCTCAAGGAACTCATAACTGATTTAAGTATTTACAGTAAAGAAATTGTGGTAAGTACTAGGGAACTGGGTCTTGACATGTATTCAAGGTCTAATTTGAGCTTCGTCTCTGTGGAGCAGGTAAGATCCTTGTTTGTAGAGCTCAGTATTTTTTAGGAGAACATGACAAATGGGTTTGCAGCAGGATCTGTGTAACAGTGATGTTGCTTTGGCCACCACAGCAAAAGATATTCTAAAGAAACACTAATATGCCTCCCTCCTTTCAGCTATCAGACCATTAAAACAATAGAATAAACACACATACACACGCTCAGTGTCTCCAGTTTTCATGCTGGAAGAATGTGCTAACCTTCCTTCATCCTTGTGCTAGCCAAAGAAGAGACTTGCTTCCAAGGAAGAGAGTCCATACAGTTCTGACAGTTGGGGGGACAACTTCCAGGATAAACTGAAGCTAAGACAATGATTGGTCAGTGGTTGACAGGACCACATCTGGACAAGAATTGCTTAGTTACTTATATCTCTTACCCTCTGTTTAAACCTAAGCCTCAAGTCAGTGCTCTCCATGGTATGAACTTAGGGTTAGGAGTTAAGTCACTGAAGCTTTTTATTTCTCAATATGGCCACACTGGATACATTTCCTTTCTTATTTTTTTCACCATTAATGGTCTCTTTACTGGCAATGAGGACAGGTGACTGTAGCTTGCTAAGGTTGCCAGGGACTAGATTTTGGTCTAATGACTCCAGTAACATTGTCATTCCCAGCACTGTTGAAGCCGTGCCCTAGGAGGCTAACTACCACAGAACAAGTAGCAGTGGTCCATTGTTTGTTTTGTTTTTCATGTTTTGAGACAGGAGCTCACTATGTAGCTTTGACTGTCCTAGAAGTCACTGTGTAGACCAGGCTGGCTTTGAACTCACAGAGACCCGCCAGCTTCTGTCTCCTAGAGTGCTGGGATGAAAGCTGTGCACCACCATTGCCTGGCCAGTTCTGGCTACTGACAAAAGTGAAACTGGGAAACTGACTGTTTAAGCTTTGCTTTTTAAAAAATTTTTTTATTGGATATTTTATTTATTTCCAATGCAGATGTCATCCCCTTTCCCCATTTCCCCTCCCTAGTTTATTGAAGAAACCAAATTAAGTCTTAATCACACCCCAAGCCCACCATCCTCAGCCTTGGGTAAGTCAGATGGTAATTTGATGAGGGTAATAAAATTGGTTCAAAGCAACCTGGAGGCACACAACATCCCCCAGAGGTGAGTGTCCTGAAAGTCACCAGCTGAGATGGATCTTCTGCTCACACTGACTCTTTCACAAACAGCACTCTGCTCTGAAATTAACCTGTCATCTAAATTGACAGGAAGAAAGGGCAGAAGGGCTAGGACACAAACATCCAACCCCACTAGCAAGCCAATCACTGACGTCAAGCCTTGTGAGAATGGTTGTTAATCACTCCAGCCTGGTGTGCAGTTGAGGACAGCTCTTTCCAGCTCTCTCAACCCATTCCTGAGATCCTTCCACCAGCCATGCACCTGCTGCTGGCCACAAACCCTCAGCTTTGAGACAGGCACGAATGCAGGCTGCCTCCCATAACATTCAAAGCCACACTGCACCCTTTAGAGCCCAGACTTTGTGGAGGAGATAGCAACAAGGCATAGGTGGTGTCTGCCCCCTCCCCCCACCCCGGCCAAGACACACAATCAATGTGTGCATGTCTTAATCTCTGCATGGCAACCCCTAAAATGTTCATTTCCTGGGAACTTAATGGGAATATGGGATTAATGTCCCAAAGAACTCTTGGGGCTGTCTATTAATTCCCCGTAGGAAATACTAGTGGTCTTTAATCAAAATAGCCTAAATTACAATCTAATGAAGCATGTCCTTGCAGGGCTTAGGAGTCGGTGTCACTCCAACTATTTCCAATAGATGGCGCCCATCTTCATGTAAGTAAATCATTCACATAATTTGTTTTCCATTTTTTCCATCGAGATGGGTGTGTGGGGGGGTTGGGGGGAGACAACAGCGAGTGGGGAGGACATAGTAAAGGTCCAGACAGGAACACTCTGTCCAAGGGCTGTTTTCAGGCCTAACACACTTCTGAGACTCTGAAGACAGCCAGGGAGCCCAGGCAACCATTGATAAGAACAGACAGTGAAAGTTGGGGCAGGAGAGCCCGGCACTAGCTGTAGCCCCTGCCCATGTTTTGGAGACGGATCGGGAAGTTCAGAAGACTTCCCAAAACCCATGTTCTGTAACTGTGATCATTCAAGATGCTTTCTGTCTTTGATCACGAAACACCAGACTGCCCATTTCACCTGGACTTAAAAATAACAACCCAGTCTTTGCTAAACAAAACCAACCCAGACCAATAGTTGATGAGTCTCCCAGCCTGTGTCTTAAATCTCATAATTCTCAGATTAGTCTTCCTACTCTTCTAGGAAAGTGTAGAGCATATTTCTGCTTGACTTCCATCACAAACCCTAGAGGCAGCCAATCTTTGCAGATTTCTCAGGCTGCAATCCTGGAGACTTGGCACCAGGACTCGAATGTGAATGGAATCAGGGTTGCTTTATTTTGACTGAGAGTCACTGCCTCCTGGGTGACTTGGCAGACTAAGTATTTTGATATTTATGTCTCTCAAAGGGTTTAAGGTCCTGGGATCCGGAGGTTTAAAATGGCTATAATTCTAGTGGTGGCCTAAGAATCCCTAAATTAAAAAGTCAAGGGTGATTATGGTCCCAGATACAGCCTAAAAGCTTCATGTTCCATCAAGCTACTCTGGCTACTTGAAGGTCAGTGAAATAGGTCAAAGGTCTCATCATCTCTCAGGGTGCCGAGAAGAGCTAAGCACGGGGTAGGAATCAGCTTTTGCAATTGAAATGGTTCAAGATTCCCTAATCCAATCAGCAGCTGTTGAACTAAAGGATGTCCATCTAAAATAACTAGCTTTGCTGCACCCAGAGAAAAGACCAAAATACCCAGACACAAAGGTTATGCTGAGGCATTGCAGGATGCTGCCTCTCCAGTTCATGCGTCAACCGCAAAGTGGGTTACTAAGCAGCTTCCCAGAGAAACTAGAGGGGAACCTACCTTTTAATGCTGTTTGGAAAGGTGCTTTGTGAGTTAAAAAAGAACTCTTACCAAAGGTTTTGGTTTTCTTTTTCCTCCACCTTCCCCCTGAAGCACTGGTGTTAGGTGTATGCTTCCTGATGCTTTACCTCAAATCTCTCAACACAAGGCAGTGAGAAAGCGATCTCTATATTCACATTTATATGGGAGAGATCTCACTGCAAGTCAGTGAGTGGAAACCCTGGACATTTTTATCACAATTTCTTGTTCTTCTATGCCTCCTTGTTTTCCAATTCACTAAGTTCTGCAAAACTTACGATTTCCTCTTACTGGATTCAGTTTTTCCAGAGGCAATATAGGAGAGCACCAGCTGGACTTTGTTTCTCAGCAGTAAGGTCCAGTCCCCCACCCTGCCCCTTGATCTACAGACATCACAGCCATCCACCACTCTGAAAAAAACAGGTGACAAAATCGCCTCCCCTCCTCCAAAACACCTGGATTAGAAAGGACTGCATTGTATCAACTGTGGGACTTCAGGCTATCTGTAAAATGGGTATAATTACTGCCTACCCGATTTGTAGGATAGTAAAGATAATCGCTGTAAAAGATGAATGCAAAAGCTCCCAGCACACAGTAGGTCTGTTTGCTTCTTCTTTGGCCTAGAAATGTGAGAGTTAACTTACAGTGAAGGAGTACACTCATTTCAGACAGAATCGGACTTACTGAAACCTGAAACTGTGGGAATGGACAGGAAACTGGAGCAGTCCCGGGGATCTCTTTCCTACTCTTACAGGACCCTGGGGAGGAGGGGTCGAGAATAAGCTTGATGTTCGATCAAGGGTGGGCAGCCTCTAGCCTTCCCTCACCCTAGCACCAGCACCACCCAGAGGTCTTCACGACCCAGCCTGCAGCTCCAGGGTTAGAGGGGGGAAAAACAACAACCACCACCCCCAAGATCCCGAGGGCGCACTGGCTGGCGGAAGCTCTCCTCGCCTCACGGCCTCCAGGCCTGTGGGGTCCGAAGCCTGGGTAGCTGGCCTCTGCGCCGGCTGCCCTCGGGGACCGCGCGGGGCTGTGGGCGTGGCGAGCGCCCGCCTGCTGAGGCGCCCTGGTGGGGTTGGCTGTGTGTGTGTGCGCGCGCGCGCGCGCGGCCGGGGGGGGAATCGAGCGCGCGCAGGCAGCCGGGTCCGCGCGCCTCGCCGCCTCGTCCTCGCCCGGGGCTGCCCGGCCCCTCCCCTCCCCCGCGAGCCGCGCACCAGCAGCCGGCTGACCCAGCAGCCCGCGCCCGCGCCCTTGTCCGCGCGAGCCGGCGGCGGGCTCCAGTCAGCCGGCGACATGAGCGGCGGCGGCGACGACGTGGTGTGTACCGGCTGGCTGAGGAAATCGCCTCCCGAGAAGAAGTTGAGGCGCTATGTGAGTGAGGCGAGCGGGCGCGGCCCGGCGGGCGGGCAGCCGGGGGCTCCCGCGGCCTGAGTTGGGGGCTCTGAGAGCGGCCGGGCGCGGCAGCCCAGGGCCCCGCGGCCTCCGAGGGCGAGAGCGGCGGGGCGCGAGTGGGGCGCCTCACACCTGTCACAGGTGCGCCGCCGAGGGGCGGGGCGGGGCGCAGGTCGAGGCTGCGGCGAGCCGCCTGCCTCCCCGGGAACTCCTCGCCGCGCCGAAGTTTGTAGCGATTGTTCCGGGCGACCCGGAGAGTAAACGCCCGGGGCTGAAGGGGCCGAATCAGCCGGAGCGGGAGGGTAGGCTGAGGGGCCGCGCGGCCCCGGGCCCACAAAGGGCGAGGCGCCGCGCCCCTCTCCGGGTCCCTTTCTCTGTCCGCCCCTCCCCGGTGGCTGCCGGCTTCCTTCCAGTCCGTGGCCACTGCATCACGGGCAGCGTCAGCGGCATGTGCAGCGCTTGTATTAAGTGACTCATTTGTTTGTCCCCCCCCCTTCTTTCCCATTATTCCGAATGTCTCTCACATACCCCCCCACACACACACACACCGCGGTCCTCCGCCCCACGGGGTGACACTGCAGTTTGGTCATCTATAACCAGCCAGAGTTTTGTGTTGTGCAGCCCTTGGTGTCTGGGGTCTGGAGACGTGGTTCTGAATTGCTAGGTGGTGCTAGCCGACTGTGTTTACTGAAATTGGTGGGACGGGCTGTCCCTTCTAGGTGAGACACTGGCAATTGGGGTCGGGGCACTCCCTTCTTGTTTAGGGAGGTCAGAGAACAAAATGGTGCCAGGATCCGAGATTGGGTAGTCTGAGGAATTTAGAAATGAGAAGTCTGTTAATGGAGTGCAGGTTCTCCCATGTTCTCGCTCTTCACTTGCCAAGAAACGTCCTTGTTATGCTGACCGGGAGTGCTGGACTCTGAGAAATCACTCCCACAGCCTGGAAGTGAGCGGTTGCTTCCAGCTGCAGTGCATCAAGGGAGCTCCAACAGACCCTGCCCTCTGTCAGCTGCACTAGTGGCTGGCCATGGGGGACAGAAGCTTACCAGAGTTTCCTGTCTCTGCTCCCCAGATCAGAATCAAGGGACTTCTGGCCTCTGGACTGAGGAAGTGACATTCTGTTTTTCAAAGGAAGTGTTGTTGTTGGGGAGTGCAAGTGTGTCAATGAAACCAGGCTCTGACTTCTTAGGCCACTTGCTGGCGGGGGTGGGGGGTGGGGGTGGGGGTGGGTGGGGAGAGGTGAAGGGGGAGTGATGGGGGGGCAGGGAATCTAAGGATTTAGTGAATGGCTTTTGAAAATGAACCCAGATTTGGCGTACAGTAATATAGTAAGGGTGTTTAAGCTTTAAAGCTCATTTGGGAGTTTTGATGTGAGAAAATTCTTTAATTACTAAGAGTGAGCTTTTTGTTTTGTTCTGTTGCCTGTTGCTGTAGCTTAGGCTTGTACTGCCAGCACTTACATTTGGGAAATAAGAGACAGGAGGATCAGAGGTTCAAAACCAGCCATGAGACCCTGTCTCTCATTTCATTTGCATACCAAACAATACACACACACACACAAACACACAAATCATGTATGCACACAACTCCAAGATGGCTTAATGGGTAAAAGCGGTCTCTCAAGCCTGTCGACTTAAAATTTGATCCCCTGGAACCCATATAAAGATGGAAGAAGAGTTCTGACCTATACACTCATCCTGTGGTGTTGTGTGCACTCAGACAGTCTCTCTCACATACACAATAATAGTTAAGAAAATTGGGGCGGGAGCTTTGTCTGGGGTGGGTGGTTGTTTATGCCTACAGGCATGAACTGCATCTAGCGTCTGCAAGATGGAAGCAGAAATATGAAAAGTTCGAGCTCCTCCTTGACTGCTTAGTGAGCTCAAGGCCAGTCTGGACTACATGGCCAATAGTGTCCAGTCTTAAAAAATAAAATAAAAATTTCAGATTAGTAAAGAATGTAGCATAGTTGGTAGAATGTTTGCTTAGCATACAAGACGTCCTGGGTCTTATCTGAGTACATCATAAACAGTGCTAGTTGGCACTAGCCTGTAATCGCAGCATTCCAAGGAGGAGGGGGAAGGAGGATTAGAAGTTCAAATCATCCTTGAATTTGAGAAAACAAGCAAAAATACTACTACTTTAGAGATTTTTGGAACTTTGTTTTTGAAATAGTTTGTAAACAAGTTGATACTATTGCTAGTTTGACTCATGACTGCATCAGTCCTTACAAGATTCTCTTTATAACCTAGCTCTTGAGTATTTTTTAGAACAGCTTTAGCTCAAAAATAGCCAAGTTTGGAGGCTTGTGTCAAACACAGATTTACCCATTTAAACTCCTTAGCAGTCTTGGGTCCTCTGGTGACCTCAGCCTCCCTCTCACACACATTCCCTTTGGCTCCAGCCCCTAAGGCATCTGACACATCAAGCAACAGCTAGGTGTGACTGGAAGCCTCTCCCACTGTAGAAAAAAGATCAGCCCTCCTACTTGAAACAGCCAATTGGAATAACTTATGCTTTCAGTACAGCCTCTTTCTACATCCACTACATTTCTAGAGGAAACAGTTGGCTTTTACACACACACACACACACACACACACACACACACACACACACACGGGATTGAATTTAGGTCTTGCAGGTTCTGGGCAAAAGGTCTATCACTGAATCTCAAACCCTTATATTTACTTTTTCCTTTGAAAATCTCTGCCAACTGTTTTAAGTTAGATCCCTGCCCTTGGTGTCTTAGAAGCCCAAATTAATTAGACTCAAACTTAGAGGTCTTTCCCAGCCTGATTGCTACATGCGTAACCCTTAAATAGCTGATGTGACTGGTATACATAACAGTCATATGGTATTGTAGATTGACATTTCTTTATTTTAAAGATGCATCAAGCATCAGAGATAAGGGTGAAGTAGCTTATTAAATACATGACGGTTAAGGGCTATTTTGAAAACATAACTCTCTAGTTTGTGGGGAAAGGTAGGTAGGTAATAGGGGAAAAATAAAACCTGGGAGAATCTATGTTGTCAGGGAAGTGTTGTTTTGTTTTGTTTTGTGATAGGGTTTCACTCAGTAATCCAGCTGACCTGGAACTCACTGTGTAGTCCAAGCTAGCCTTCAATTTGAGGTAATCTCCTGATTCTGCCTCCCAAATGCTGGTATTGAAGGCCCGTGCTACCACATCCAGCAACTGGGTTTTGTTTTTAGGGATTTTTTTCCTCATTGGATTTTCTAACTGATTAGACATATGAAATAACAAATGATATAGAGAGTATTTGTTGTGTGTCCTAAAGACATTGGGTGGGAAGGAGAAGGAATACATTGAGTATTACCCTTGATGCATCATGTGGTTGCACTGAGACAAAAGAAACAGCCTTATTCCCATGTATGTATGTGAGTCCATACATGCCTGAGATCACACAGATACATGTATTTAAATATTAAGCAGGATTTTTGTGGAGGAAAATTTACAACATACAATGCATTATAGTTTATAATTTCAGTGTTAAGGATTTGAGGGGAAAAAAGATTGGTTACAGCACTGCCCCCTGGTGGCTTATGTGAAGAAAGTTGTATTGGTTCTAATGAACAGCTGCAGGAAGCAAACAGTTAACTGTTCTTTTATTATCATTGATAAATATGCATATTTCAGACTTTGGATTAGTTAACTAGCCCGTCCCTTCATTGTTTGCTGATGACCTTCCCTTCTGTCATAAAATCGATCAGGGTATGGCCATCTACACAAATCCCAGTCAATTTTCCAGATTTACTCAGTGTTTATGATTTTTTCTTTTTTCCTCTCCTCAGTTTAGATAAGGTTCTCCACTATCAGAGCTAACTCTACTACCTGTACTTTGGTTCCTATTCTCTCCTGCCTGCTCAGACAATACTTTCCATTTTTGGTAATTTTAAAATTAGTTCGTTGAGAATTTTTTTCAATGTATTTTGATCATACTCTTTCCCCATCTCTTCTCAGATTTAGCCCTTTCCCTACCCACTCAACTTTTTGTCCTACTCTCCCCCAAACCCTTCAAACCTTATTTATGTTACCCATATAATCTTGGATGTGTATCCTGGCACTTGAAGCATGTTTAACCCACCAAGGGCCAGGATTAAAGGGTGCCACCATGCCTACCTTATTGATATTTTTAAAGGATTGGATGTTTATTTCAGTGATTTTATCTATTGCTTTTCTGTTTATAGTTTCATTTGTTTTCTGTTCTTTATTGTATCCTTTTTCTAGTAGCATTTGATTTATATTATTTTTCTAAGTTTCTTTTTTAATGTGGGAGCTTAAATTACTGATTTGAGACTTTCCCTCTAATATTAATATATCATTTAATGCTATAAATCCCCTTTGAGGATTATAATTAGTTTATTCTAAAATTTTAATAAGTTGTATTTTCATTTAGTTCAATGTATTTTTAACTTCTCTTGAGAATTTCTTTGATTATTTAGATGTATGTTGTTTAGTTTCCAAATGTTTAAAGATTTTCTTTTTATTTCTCTGTTCCCAATTTTTCGATTGGCTCCCTCATGGGAATAAAATACATTTTGTATAATAAAAATTGTTTTAAGTTTGTTGAGATTTATTTTATGACCCAATATATGATTTTTTCCCTTTATATTCTTTGGGTACTTGAAATGATGTTTATTCTGCTATCATGAAGTAGTCTACAAATGCCAATTAGACAAGGCGTGGTGGATCATGTGTATAATCCTAGCACTTTGAGTGGCAAAGTGGGAGCACTATAAGTTTGAGGATAGCCAGAGTTACATGGAGAGTTCGAGACCAACCTAGTACTATATAGCAAGACACTGTCTCCAAAGACCAAAAAAAAAATTATTTTAACTTAGGACATTCTCCTGAGCTTCACATGTATAATTGTTTTGCATACATGTGTGTTCTAGAGCTTGTGGATACCATAAGTGGGCATTGGAGCCCCTGGAAGTAGAGTTCTAGATGGTCGTAAAT